TTCAGGCTTTTCTGCCCTCCACTGTTATTTTTCATCGGCTCAGGCTGATCCACCACGCCATCTGGATTTATAGTTTTGTCTGTGGAAAAACTGGCAAGAGAAAAGGAGTCAAAAATAGAGCCCTCAGACCTTAAAGCACACAAACCAGCATAGACAACATGTGCTCAGGTAATACATGCTATTATGTAGTTTCACTGGTCGTGACCTCAGCGATTTGTAGTCATCATTGCACATCTTTACTGCGTTAACGTCTTGACATTCACTTTAGTCCATGTTGCTAAACCATTTGCACTAAAGGTGCATTTAAGATAGTTTGAAGTGTCATACCGTACAATCCTCTGTGTTTGTTATTTTCTTGGCGTGCCATTCAAAGTTTCACTTCATCTTGGATTTAATGCTGCAAACCTAAGAGGAAAAAGCACAGCATTAAGCTCATTCACCATTTTATAAGCCAACTGGCATAATATCAGTTCTAATGCATATTCATGAGGCAGAAGGGCTCTTGACACAGTGAGCACTCGTATGCTAATGCAGTACCTGATGGACAGGTAACAGCCGCCTCCTGCATGTTAAATGCATTTTCATTTAATGGGCACCTTGCCTCTGCTCTCAGCTGATGCACGGGCCCCAGTGACAGTGAGCGGCCCATATCCTGTGTCCTGCAGCCAGTATAGGCAGAAAGAGGGGAGCGTCAATTAATCACTTCATTACTCCAGTCAATCAATCATTTGTTTCCCATAATCTAGTCTAAAATGAACATTATAAGGGTCAGTGAAGTAACACTTTCTTTGTCAGGATCAGTTAAGTTAAAGATACATTAATTCATATAAAATGACTTCGATAAACCTATGAGGCTGTTTTCAGGTGACAAAACTATAAAACAAAAAGAATTCCGTTAGACATGATGCATGTCAAGGTCATTAGGTTTATAATTTGTTTCCACTTTTTCTTCATAATCCTTTAGAAATCATTCTAATATGCCCTTTTTTGTGAAAACCATAATAAGTGTTTTATTTAAATGTTAAAAAATAATTGAAAATTAATTTAACAAACTGATTAAAAGTGTTGTAATGTCACAATTTTTTTTTTTTTATAAATGCTGTTTTTTTTTTCCAACTTTCAATACAAAGAATGCTGAAAAAATATATCATGATTTAAAAATAAATGCTGTTTTTTTTTTCCAACTTTCAATACAAAGAATGCTGAAAAAATATATCATGATTTACAAGCAGCAAAAACTGTTTTCAAATGGATAATAATCATTACTGATAATGAAGCACCAACAATAATAATAAACAACTATTGTATGCGTGTATGTGAAGTGTGTATGCTTGTGTATTTTAATTTCTACTTGTCACGTGTTATCACCACAAACCGGTCTAGAAAAACCCACCGTTGGCCTATTCAACACTTTATTTATTTATTTTTTTCATAAAATGTATGTTTACCAAATCTATGTGCATATAGATATTTAGTACATCGAATATTAATTACATTTTGGCTTGAGTTGTACTGCATCAGGATAAAATATCAGCCTTATATTTGTCCCAAATCAGATATTTTATCTTACAACTTCAGTGTTAAAAAGCACAACACGTGCCTGTAACTTAAATCATCATATAATATACATATGAACAAGTCGTTTATGATATTACACCATAATCTACAAGACATGGTGCAGAGCACGTGTTTAGCAGGCCAACACATAGCCTTGTAACGTTACAGCACGGACCACCAAACCTGCTAACATGCTGCAGAACAACTAAAAACTACATTTAAGATCCTTGTTAAAGTTCAGATTACCTGGTATGCCGTCCTGGTAAATCATTGTAATTTGGCCATTGATATAATAAGAGCTGAGTCTCTTCTGCTTCTTCCTGGAGAAAGCGGGCAAATTCCCCCTCCTGTGGTTTAAAAGAGGCAGGAAATGCATCAGTCTCTTCTTCTAAAACGTCTAGGTGGTTCAAGACAAACTGTGAATACTGGCTTACCAAAACTTTGCAATTTACAATCAGTGTTGGGCTCGTTACTCCAAAAATGTAATTTATTACTCGTTACTAGTTACTCCTTTCAAAAGTAATATTATTACTTTAATTATTACTATCTGGCAACAGTAATTAGTTACACTACTAGTTACATTACTTTTCCTTCACGCCCCACAGAAGTTGTAGGCTAATTGTGTATCTTCCCTATAAAATTCTTCTAAAGTGTTACTAACAATATATTTCTGCCTCATCATTTGACCAAAATCTACATTGGATCGCAGTCAGAAGTTATTACAAACACTCAATGGTGACTGATAGTGACTTTTAAGTAAAAGTGTTGTATTAATTGTCATGTGTAGCTAATTAGCTATAATTTCTCTGTTGCCCAAATATGATTATATTTCATGAAGTATTTTATCAAAAGAAATCACATAAGTTCATAAGATTTTTAATTATAGTACTATTATTTATATCGGGATCAGAGGGATGTGGGTGGGCAAGCCATGTAATGCCAGAGTAAAGTAATGCCACAACTTACACATCTGTGTTCAGATCAGCTTTTCTCGTGACAAAATCAGTGTAATGGCAATATTTCCATCCTCTGAATGTAAGCGTTTCCATATTCCAAGCTTTCCTGCTGCACTGGTGACTTCATGTGCCTGTGCGAGTCCTGAAATGTTTGAAAATAAGTCTAGGAATTATTGGATTCTTGAATTTCAAATCAGTAGGGTTTGAGGCATAACTAGCTGTTTTATGGAGGGTAACTGTAGCAGTATTACTGAAATCTTATTAGTAATTAGTTACACTAGTTACTGCAAAAAGTAATATTATTACAGTAACTAGTTACTGCCCAACACTGGTTACAATGAAGTTACATATAAGTCTGACACCTACGAAAACAGCACACAAAATCTGAACAGGCTGAAGCTCTGTGTCAAGTTTGCTGAATCTGACTTAAAGGCTTTAGGAGGAATTGCAGTCAGATGTGTTCACTGGGCATACTGAAAAACCTGATCAGTTAGAAACAGGACCGTTTTGAAGGTATTTGCCAAGTCAGATGAATGCAACATGAAAACGTTAAGCTGAGGATGATCGGGAAAATAAACCAAGTTTGTACAATAATTTTGTCATGCCAGTATTAATTAATTCATTATTTATTTATTTAGCACTTTTCCTCACTGGAATAAAAAATGCATTAATATTTAACAATTTCTGACACATTTAGTGGATCGTCACTGCAGGTTTTACATTATTTTTTTTAAACTACACATTTTATTATGTAAATTCATTCTGTTTTCAAAAGCTATGCAGAAACACCATAACCAGTGTTCACTTCTCTACCTTCTGTTAAACCTCAAAGCAGTAAAATCACATACTTTTCAGTGGTAATACACCTGACATGTTTTAATCACATGACTAGAATCTTGTTTTTGATAAATGTACTCGGAGATTAAACAAATATGCTACAGAAAGAGTTCAGGTGTTTGGTTTTCAGTGTTCGGCAGTGCTGCCTGTAGGCTACTCTTAGTATCAGCAGGTGGCGCTGTTCAACAAGCCATACGATCATTCAACACGACAATACCTCAATGAAAACTGTTCTTAAACCTACAGACAGACCCTCAGCCTCCTGTAATTTCATTAATGTTGATCATCAACCACCCCCGTAATACTGAAACAATTTATAAACTAGGGTAAACACAATCGAGTCTAATGCTGGGAACTGTGCTTAGGGGGCTTTCTGAGCACAGACAGATGATTAATGCTGCTGCTTTTTGTCTAATTAGTGTCAAAATTAACCCATTTGCAACCGATTTTATTTTCCCTCGGGATACAGATAAAGTAAACGGAACCTATTTGTACGAAAAAAATCCCACTTGTTCTTTTTGAAGGCTACTATGAGTGTTATTCAGTGGCTGGTAAAATAACGAGACTCCCCTCGCTGCACACTGTAGCGCGGTGACGTCACGTATGTGTTTACCGCGCATGCGCAAAGTGACGTAAGGTATGTCTATAACACGCATGCGCATTAACGTGGTGACAGCGCATGCGTGTGTAATTTGCATTGCGTGGTGACGTAACACGTCATTAAAACGCATGCGCATACTTAACAGAATACTCTGATAAAATGTATAAGTATTAAAAAAAACGCTAAGGTGAAAAAAAGAAGAAAAAAAACAGTAAAATGTAGTACAGCACATATCTAGGATTTTAATCATGTATCATCTGAGGTAAACTTATACGGAATTACAGTTTATTCTGTAATATCTGTGTAGTATTTTATTTACAATTTATTAACATTCTGTTGCACTATACTTCCCTGTGTATATTTATTGTGTAACATTACTCTACACTTTAATGGCACCTTATATATTTCTTATTTGGATCTTTCCTCTGTCATGGTTCTTGTTTATTTATTTAGTATAATTATAGACATGTTTCTGTTACTTTGGCAATTCTGCATGTGAAATATTTAAGCCAATAAAGTATTTTTAAGTTAAATTGACTACATGCTGTATATTTTCAGTCTGCATTCCATTTTATGCATGGTGCCTCCAAAAACCAAACTGATAACAGTGATCTTTTTTTTTTTATTGCAAAGAACAAAACAGAAAATAAAATTGTATATATATATATATATATATATATATATATATATTAAAACT